ACACAACACATGCAACAGAAATGACTCAATGCAAATACCAGAGATATTAAAGATATTATTATCATCAGTCAAATCAGAGTATGATAAATAATGTTAAAACTTATTTCAATTCACATTATAACAAGTTATTTATTTATTTTACAGTAAAAGGCATCTTATTTCCCATCTGATGGTATTTTATTGATAACACTAATATTGTTTCCGAATGTGCTTTATCTTATATTGATTGCTCTTCAAATATCTGGTCAATTCCACTCATGTGTATATAAATGAAGTAAAAAGTTGTGTGAGTGACTTGATATGATTATGATCAGTAGTTCGTACTCGACAGGTGGTCATCAGTTAATATTACTGTATAACAGTGTGTGATTTATCAGAATAAAATCTTATCCATAATGGAGTTATGCTCTACCACAGTGCCCTAGTTTTATACTTATATCAATCTTGAAGACATCCGATAAAGACTACAAAGAACAAGGGTGGAAGGGAGATGTGTCGTTTAGGTTATATGCTCCATCCGGAACTCAAAAGAATAATAACAGTATCAATAATAATCACTGAATAAAGACCAAAATGCACCCAGATGAGAAGTCCGAAAGGGGACGAAACGCATGTCTTGAATTCCATTGATATCCACCATCAAGCAAAGTATGTAATGCAATCTGAACGCTTTAAATCTCCTGAATACAGTATAAAACATGATATTGTCACGTACAAATTCGTGGAATATTGAAACATTCGTTCCAAATGGCTTGTTTGGGGGTGAAACACACAGCAATACATTTGAATAAATTATCCTCCTTATCTTTCTCATGCGTTGGACAATTAACTTGAAAGTATCATTGAAATTATCATGGCATTCATCCTCTGAACCTTCTTTATTACTATGATGGTTGCTGATATAAAATTATAATCAATTTTAACTCTGTTTTGCTTAATCACACGTAAAATAAGTCAAGTTGGAAGCTTTTACCGGTGCGTAACAAACATAATTTTCTATTTAATATGTGAAAAACATAAGTAGGTTCTATGTCATTATGTCACTTTTTACTTCAGTGAAAAACAGTGGTCTCGGTATGTGAAAGTATATGAGGTGCTTGGTTTCTTATTTCGAAAATGAGGCTTTAAATAAACTGAGTATAACACTGAAAAGGTTATTATTTGTGTTCGTTTTTTCAGCTCTGAGTGGAATTCAAGATTTCAATAGCACAACTCTACTGCTCCTAGTCTTCTACCATCAATTTCAGGTGATCTCACTACTACCGACAAACTTCCATTTCAGTCTTCCATTGTCTCTTCAATGTTACATTTGCATTCCGACGCAATCGCTTTCCACGAGAATTCTTGTTGACGTCCTGATGTGTAATGTCACTCATCGCCTACCTGATTGTACATTCAGTTCACCTCCATTTCCTTCTACATATCTGTCGGGCAATAGGTTCTTGTTCTTGGTTCTCTTTAATACCGCAGTTTCTTGTGATTTGACACTTCCTTCTGGTTATCTGACTTTCAGTATCTAGAGAAGGCATTTGTTGATGAAATTCTGCGAAATCTGTTAAAAATGCTTTTTATGGTGATCACACGCCAAGTGTGTGAACCACATAGGAGCACTGACCTATTGTCTATGCTAAGCACTTTAATTTATGAAGCTACAGGGGAATAACTAATAGAATTTTAAAGTAATGTTTTTGTGGGGATTTTTGTTTGATTGGTTGGAAGATTTCATCATGAGCTGACGTCAGTTAGAGAACTATTGGAAAACCACCAGGAAGCAATGGACAGCTGCTTCTTCATAGTTTAGGACTCCCCATCAACACCCACCCACTGGGGTTCAAACCCAGGACCTTCTGATTACAAGGCGAGCTACCTTGTAGACCATTAATCCATTGAGACTCAAAGGTAAGGCAGTAACTAATCGAAGAAAACATTGCGAAGCGGTCACGCTATGTCATGAATTGGAAGAAGTTAAAATTCACGGACTGGCCATTGAATCGGGTCCAAATGGCCTAATCGTCTACGAGCTAGCTCATCTTGTACCTAGAAGATCGTGAGCTCGAACCCCGGTGGGTAGATACTGACGAAGAGTCCTAGTCTAGGACGGTAGAAACAGCTGTTCAGTACTATCTGAAGATTTTCCAATAGTTCTCTAACCGATGTCAACCCATGATGAAACCCTCCAACTAATAAAATGTTAAAAGACTGTTGACTGGGAATTTTTTATGTAGGGTATAGTATCATGGAAAGAACTTGAAACTCAGGGTTTCGCATTACACATCACTGATGTTTGAAGAATATTTACAGATGAACTTAGTAAGAATTTGATACTATTGTGGAACTTATATTCTAAAGATTTGATGTAAACATATGTTCCACTTGTATTATTCATAACACACATTCCAAGACGTGTATGTCTTGACAGAGTAAAACTATTCTGCTTGAAATATGACTGATAAATTTTTTAACTGGGGGTATGCATAGTGAATACTTTGATTACAGACTAAGAACTGGTTCCACGGAATTTTCCAGTTCACATTTTTAGCAGAAGGATTACACTCTCTCTGCAGGAGTGAGTTTCTTCAGTTTTTCTGTCAAATTACTTACCAACTATCATTAAGTTGAGGTAATTAATAGTTTGTTTGATTATATTCTGATGCAATCAACTGAGTCGTGACTTAGTGGTCTATGCGATTGATTTTCAGTTATTAGTTCACAGGTCCGTGCCTTGCTTTACATACCAATCTTTAGGCAGCCAGGCAGCAATAATAGCTCTCACATACCAAAAGTGCAGCTCAGTGTTAATTGAATCGGAGTGAATTTGATTACTGAGTACCACTTCCAACATGTATCATACATGTTAAGTTTTCAGCTAGCTTAATAAGTTGTAGCCATTCTGGCATATTTCAAATGATTCTTTTGTGGGACATTCTTGATTGACCACGGGAGTAAATCAAACCGAATCTGAAGGCAGAGCTATAAATAATTAAATAAAACAATGTAAAACTGATAGCTTATCGATTGTAAACAGTGTATGCTAACATACTTGACTGGTGAACTGTTAATATGTTATTATTCTCATGGATTGCGAGTGGAACATAGTGCTTCAAAAGCACATCTCGATTTGTTCTTGTTCAACGCAGTCTTCTTCAGTTAAACAAACGAGTGCCCATAGGCTCTCATCTTCTCTTTACAGAACCCTCTCCATGCCAGCCTCGAACCAAGGCCCAACTCATCGTTTCCCATTAGGGTGCCACCCTATGGGCTGGCAACAGATGTCGCCCAACAGTACCCCCGAAGTGTATCCATTGCCACTGTTTTTGGCGTCTTTCTTGAGCATTAGGTTCTTGTTTGGTTCGTTCCCAGAGTTTCTTCGCGATATTTCCCTCCAACCAACCATATGATCTTTAATATGAGGCCAGCTAAGGCAGCTATTAATGAAAGTGTACATTGGCTTGCTGTAAATGATTTCGGTGATGCGCTGGCCAAGTATCTCACCCATATTAACAAAAGCATCCACTGAATTAACATTGTTGTTGAAAATTCGATTCTAGTTGTTAATGCTGGGGAGTAAGGAAGAATTCCACACTGACGTCAGACTGGTGAATATCTGCCTTGCCTTTCTGATTATGGTTTTGATATACTCATCCGTGCCTTGTGCCTGAAGCTGAAACGGTGTTGTCTAGATATGTGGAAGAAACTGGCCCATAAACTAACTGTTGTTAATTTGGTCTGTCATAAGGCTGCCAACAATTATACATCTCATCCAACAGTTGTACGATAATGCTGTGTGCCAAGTAATCCACAACGGGAAACTCACGGAATCCTTCCAAGTGAAGAGGGGAGAAAGACAAGGCTGCCTACTATCGCCAATGATTTTCCTGATTGCAGTAGACTGGATAATGCGACAGACAGTTAGTGGGCAGCGAGGAAACAGGTATAAAATGGACTCACACAAAAAACTTGGAGGATCTGACCTTCGACGATGACATATGTCTGATTTCCCACAATTTGGAAGATATGCGAGTGAAAGGCAACAAGTTGGCAGAAGAAGCATCCAGAGAAGAAAGGACTTCAGGTGAACAAAGATAAAACAGAGGTGATGGAGATTCCTGGCCAACAGCAACAGTAACAACAACAGACAACGATCAGCATAAATGGGAGGAACCTGAAAGAAACAACCTCTTTTACCTACCTAGGAAGCATCGTTTCAACTACAGGCAGATGGAACTGACAAGGAAATCAAAGCAAGGATCGGGAAAGCAAGCTAGCTTACATTTCTCTCAAGTATGTGTGGAGGTCGACAGCACTGCTCATCACTAGGCGTGAAAAATAAGATCCGGATCTTCAACTCCAATGTGAAGCCAGTGCCACTAAAGGGATAAGAGACTCGGCACATCACGTAGAATATTTCGAACAAGCTACAGACTTTCATCAACAGCTGTCTTTGCTCAATACTCAAGTTTAGATGGTCGGCCAGAAACGACCAGCAACAGAGATCTCTGTGAGTGAATCAACCCAGCAGGAACCGATTGTGCAACACATATGCAGGAAGGAATGGAGGTGGACTGGCCAGACTCTGAGAAAACAAACCATCAAGTGAGTGACATCACGCACCAGGCCATCACTCGAATGGAACCGGAATGGGAAACGACCAGTTAGTTGGTCGTCAGGGCGAGGGTGACGTTGAAGAGGTAATGGGAGGAGTAGATGAAAGCATGTAGGCAGACGTGGAGCCAAATGAAAACTTTGGCGGAGAACCGAACTCAATGGAGATATGTGGCTGAAGCCCTATTTTCCTCTAGGAACTAAAGGAGACAATAATAATTAAATAATAATAGGGCAACGACTGCGTGCTGCTTAAGTAACCTACATATTTTCCAGTTTTCCCCAGTTTTGATTCATTTTCTAAGTGATACCTTTTTACAATAAATTCTTTACCGAAATGTAACAGTTAATTACCTCTTAAAATTCTCTATAACCGAAGTTCTTTATTTTTAACAGTCATGACAGTGAGTGTTGAGAACGAGGCGTATCCAATACGGAAAGAACCTACAGTTACACCGTCGTTTATCACAACGCTTAATGAAGATGGTGAAAATGACGTCTACGACGAATGTGATCATTCTGCAGTCAAATCAGAACAGAAATCAAGGTATTCAACATGCACATATATATTCTACATGGTATAATCCTTTTAGATTCGATAAACCAAAACTATTGAGAAGAAGTCCATCAATCAGTAGTGTAGCATTACGAGAATACAATAACACTCTTAAATAATAATAATAATAACAGTGCAAAGCTGCAAAGTTCTGAAGACTTATTGGTTATACCAAGTTCTCATGGAATACCACATATTTTTGGGAATTCATCGCTTACAAGACAAAAAAGTGTTCTTTTGCCATCAATGAAATCTAATTTAGAGAAAATTCGATTTCCATCAGTTGACAGAATTGCGTCCACAGGTAAGTTTTTCACGGATGATTAACAACATCTCACTGAAATAAAATAAAAATAAAATATACAAGTGTTGGTTTGCAGGAATTCAACTAGTTACAGGATTTCACCATGAACTGACATTGGTTAGAGAACCACTAGAAAACCACCAAGGAGTACTAAATAGCCATTTCGTTTTAGTTTATGACCCTTCAGAGTTAGAACCCAGCACCCTCTGGTTACAAGACGGGCTCATAGATCACCAAGACACTGGAACACGATCCAGTGGCTAGTCCATGTATTCCATCCCCTGCCAATTCACGATATGACGCTACAGCACCAGCCAATGTCATCGCTAGCGAGTATTTGTCCTCACACCCGACTTGCTGTACTCCACTAATCACGACTTTCCACTAGAACCCAGCTAACTACCCACCTGAATACAGCCAGTCGCTGGTGGACATCAGATTCATAAATAAAAAAATGCCTAGGTTCACAACCTAGTTGACCCATTCACGGAACGAATACAAATTGTTTTAAGATGATATCTGACGTCGTAAACTGAACCGACAAATATACAGATAATAATTCAAAATAATTGAGCATCAAGGATGTTTGATCAAAGTTCATTGAGAGGCAGGAAGTCTAGTTCAGAAAACAATGAAAAAGATCTAATAGAAAATGTGTATGCGAGTTGTGTGAGCGTGTTAGGGAAATTTTTGAAAGTGTCCAGCACTATCATGAAATAAATTTATCTTGGATCATGTTCTGTGATCTAATGTAACACACCTTTCTATGTGATTAGTTCACAAATTAGTAGTGAACTGCTTATTATGTAAAAGTGACGGGAATCTATCGACTAAGAGTTGAAAATTTTGCTATCAAATAAAGTTTGCAGTTCATCTTAGATTTCCTTGATCATCAAATAAATTCTTGTGGTCTTATCCCCCCCCCATTTTATCGTTCATTTATTCGAACTATTGTTTTCGTTAACCTCTCCATGCATTATTCGCATTATAATCATCAATTTTAATAGACTTTGATTTTCCAGTGTTAGTTTGCAGGGATTTGATCGGCTGCAAGTTTCCATCATGAAATGACATCGATTAGAGGACCATTGGAAAACATAGGACTACTGTACAGCTGTTTCGTCTATCCCAGCTTGGGACTCTTCATCGGTGCGCACCCACTGGAGTTCGAACTCAGGGACTTCTGGTTACAAGACGAACTTGTAAACCGTTAAGCCATTGGCAGAAGTTGGAATTCATGGACCGTCGAATAGCGTCCCAGTGGCTTATTAGTCTACCAACTCGCTTTGTAACCAGTAAGTCCTGGGTTCGAACTCTGGTGGTGGATCAGTACTGATGAAGAGTTCCAAACTGGGGGTACGAAACAGCTAATCAGTACTTCCAGGTTCTCCAGGAGTTGCCCCTGTCATTTCATGGTGAAATCCTGAAACGTTGATTCGTATAGCATCGTTTTATAATGATGGATAATCCCCATTCAAACATTAATGAAGAATAAAACAAGTAGTTCAGTGAAGATGGTCTTCTAGAGGAACTCATTTTCCTTAGCTGTACAGTCGTATTAAATACAATAATTATTTTCATGAAAGAGGATAGTAACAATAGAGATGAGTTGTCGCAAACATAGTTACTAATATTAATCAATACATAAAAGTAGTTGAATAAGGGTGTCAGAGCTAATCACTGAGATAAATAGTTTAACAAATCAATTGTAATCAAGATGCACAGAGAAACAAGTGTATATTTGATTTCACTGAAGAGTTCGAAATAAACACAGGCGTTACAAGGAGTTGAAAAAACTGCTTGGTAGAAAATAACAGGGTCATTATAGTGATAATAGAAGTACTTGAATAACCTTCTTTTGTATACACAGCTCTGATTTCTATATCTGGACGATTCGACCTTCAGGAATGAGATGGAGACGAAAAAGTATTACCTTTGACAGATTACTTTTTACTTTGTAGACCACTTTGAAGGAGGAGTCTGTTGAGGTGGAATGGTCAGTGCCAACTGTTCAGTTACCATACTCCTTGTAGAGCTAATTAATCCCTTCTGCAACCTTACGATATCGTCTTCAACTCTTTTAGATAGGACACGAGTTGAACGACTTGTATGCTTGGCTTTCCAGGAACGGGTGAATTGATATATTCTTATTCAACAATTAGTCCTCCAGGCTTCTGCTGGCCAGTGGACAGCTACAGAATACTTCTCATAAAGTTGCTGCGAAGAATTTTCTTCAAGTTCTCTTATTTATTCCTAAATTTTAGAAACTGTGATTATGAAACCTCATCACGTTTTTGAAAAAAAAGATTGTTCTTCCATTAATTTCACTGTACATACAAACCACTGGTTCACTAAATTCAAATCAAACTCCCATGTAAAAATTTTCTTAGCTGCACAATCGCAAATACATTCACGCTATTTTGTATGTATGTGAACATTAAGTTTGTCAAACAAAAATAGAATGGTTGGTTTTAGATGGTTACAGGCAATCGGCAGGAAGCCTTGTACCTAGGTTTCGTGCTAGCATGAAAGGTTTCAGATACGTCTTGCTGACTGGTGTAGAGTGGCAGCTTGCACGAAACTTAGTTCCAAGGCTTCCTGCCGATTGTCTACAACCATCTAATACCAACAATTCACAGTGCACCGTAATGGCGAGCCACCTATCATGTTGGCGACATTGCAAGCTTCACTGATAGAACTCAGTCCGTAGCGAAGATAGGACTAGACACATTACACTAGTTACTGACTAGTGTGCAATCAAAAAGCAGAATTCAAGCATTGGTTTGTAGGGATTTCACCGATTGATTACAGGATTTCATCATGAGCTGAAGTCGTTTAGAGGACCAATGGAAAACCTACAGGGATTACTGAACAGCTGTTTCCTCCGTCCTAGTTTGGGACTCTTCATAAGTACGCACTCGTCAGGGTCCGAACTCAAGACCTTCTGGTTACAAGGCGAGCTAGCTCGTAGATCATTAAGCTACTGGTATGCATTCCAACGGTCCATGAATTCCTACTTCTGCCAATTCACGACATGGCGCGACCACTAGCCAATGTCTTCAGCGAGTATTTATCCTCACTCCCGACCTGCTTTACCCTACTGGTCACAACTTCCCACTAGAACCCCAAGTAACTACCTACCTGAATAGGGCCAGTCGCCAGTGAGCATCTCATTGATATTCAAGTATTGGCTTGTAGCGATTTGGTTGATTAACGCTGAAGTAAATAATGCCAATCCTATTTAACGTTCACCAGTTAACTGTAGACAATTTTCCAGATTTTTAAAATAGGAAACAGACGAAACGAAATGAATCTAAATGTTGGTTTGTCGGCGATTTGATTGATTTCATGGAAGATTTAATCACAGTTCTCAACAAAAGTTAGAAATTCCACATTAGATAAGTTTATTTTTAATACAACACACAGGGTTACACTACTGATACCTAGATAACGTTACAAGCACAATTTATAGCTCATAATCATATCTATTTTATTTTGATTTACAGCTTGATTTCACGCCGTATTTTTCAGTACAAGTGTGGAATTTTCAGCATGGATATCGGTAGCCCAAATTCAGGCCGACCATAGATATCGGGTGTGCGCCGACAGGGGATCGAACCCCGGACGATGTGAATGGTCGACGAGAGTCCTAACCACTGTGCCACTGTATTCACGAGACTTCATAACAAGTTAAATATCTATTGAAAACTGGAATGCAGTGAATAGCTGTTTTTTCCATGTTTGTCTCATATTTGCACACTGTTGAACCGTCCTAAACTTGCATAAAAGAGCTATCCAACAGTCAATGCTTTTCAGTTATTCTTTAACTAATTTTCATTCGTGATAGTTTTACTTCCATCTTTCCAAAATGTTTATGAAATTTTGTTAGAAGTAGGCGTTCTCCTACAGCGATTCATTAACACGTGAGTAACAATATCACAGTAACATTAGTATGGGAGGTAAACTGAATGTGAACTAAGGTAAAATTGAGTAGAAAACTCTGGGCAAGGGTAAACAATGGACACCAAAGCCAAATGACCTTGAGTTTACCAATCAGATAACTCGGCATTAGAAATGGTTGCTAGTCATAATCCTCGCTGAAAATGTCTCTTAGATTTGGTTTTTGACTTCTCTGTGGAAAATGTGTTGATAGGAAGGAATAAAACATGCTAATATGGAGTGTTAATGACTCTGAAAAAGTATTGCCAGGCTACTGATGGTTATACATTCAGATGCAACCACTTCATATGAGGAAGTTTGTTAAAGTTGGTAAGTGGTACATAATTGATGATTTTCTAGACACTTCTCGAAATCACAGCTCTTCCTTAGTAATATATTGCGTATATGCAACCAGCATCTGCTACAGCTGAAGAAATAGAGAATACATTGGTTTGATGTGTCTACAACCACTTCTACGAGAGAGAGATATATGTACCCTATATGATTCATTTTTGAATTACATATATATCGTAGGTACACTACTTTGTAAATTAAGTACCACTTTTCACCTTGAAGAATCTGATTGCTTAAATCAAGGTCGTTTGTCTTTGGTGCTTATTGTTTACTCTTGCCAAACTCTGAAAGATTTAGAATCTTTTTGTTTTGATTCTGCATTATTTAAAAATGTTAATTCTGTTAATTTAATAGAATATGATTTCACACAAGTTTTATTAATAGTAAGTTTATCAAAATGAAAGATCCTGAATTCCACTGCAAGTCACCATCTACCAAAATGATTATCACTCTTAGCTTGGAATGTATGAAGATATAAGTAGACACCCGACCTTTACTCAGTGCAAACTTGTCTCAATTCACACTGAAGTTACATCTGACGATGCTGTCTAGTTGGGCAATGAAATCATCAAGTTCAGTAAATACAACAACATCAAAATCCATTCACTGCTATTTTCCTACTTATTTCTCACTTATTTATTTTAGGCACCAATAATAAACGCCATTCAAGGAGTTCAACATCTACATGTTCAAGCTATCGAAGTACTGTCAGCAGTATCACTCGATTCGACATCGACGAAGTACGTAAACATTTCACTTACATTTCACAGATGATTTTCTTCATTTCTTCTTTTCATTTATTGCATTCTGAGTGGAACATACGGTTGTGACCTTCGAAGATCCTGCAACAGTGTATTTTTTCCTACAAGGTTACTAGCCTCATACCTAACCTTCCCTTCTTTCTGTGCTAACTACCAGCTTGTTGAACTGACAGTTACATTGGCTTGGAGGCAAGTTCCAGGCCACATCACAATAAGAAGATGAAGAAGATCTATATGAATCATGAAATGCTTAGAAGGCAACCTATTCCTAATCCCTAGGGTTACAGCTTCAACTGGTGTTATAAATATGTTTAGAAGACGTTTTATATGTTCTGTGTTCCAATAATTTGTCTCACGACCTAAGAGGCTGGATGTCGATTCTGACAACTAACAGCTTCTGAAACCAAAATGGGAACAGTTTGGCCTTTGATACAGCATTTCAATTTGATTTTTCTTCATTCTGGCACCCGTTAACTCTCAAGCTGCATGTATATTCCTACATCAGGTACCCATGTGATCAAAGTGTCCACGCGATTACATCAAACTTGTCACATAAACTGCATCTTATTGTGTTGTAGAAATTCGAAAGAACGTAATTGACCATTTATTTTTAGCTTAAGACTCATTGGTCGAACACATCCATAAACCAACTGGAATCCCAGCATAAAAGTTTAAATCTCAACCGCTTAATTACAATCGAGTGACCTCTAGTTACCGTGTGTTATCAATCTTCAATGAATGAATTTCAGTAATCTCAACTTCCCGATGACGCTTTGAGAGACCCGTATAAAATTGAGTATTTGCAGGCATTGGATAAACACTCACACTCTGTTAACAATATATCACGATTCGTCAAAATATGAAAATATTGTTGCATTAGGCTTTGACATTCTCAGTCAGTGTGAAGCCTATCGGTTCTGCATTTGGTTCCACTTGTAGTAATACTAGTTTTGTATTGCTTACAAGTGTTAAATGGAAACAGAACAGTTCTACTTATCTTCAGAAGTACTCTAAGTTACGGTAGTTCGTGATGAAAATCCCTTCTTAATACTTGAGTATACAATATATACAACCACGCACATGGTCTGGGTTCGATTCCCAGTCAACGAACTCCCAAACCTCCTTTTGTTTTGCTATTTGTTAGTATGCCGGAAAAAGAGGGAAGATTGAATGTGGTGCTAGCAACCCAATCCTGTACAAGGACATAATACCACCACTACAAAAACTTTATAGCTGAAAGCTTGAAGCCTATTTTTAATAGTAATAATAATGAGTTGCTTTGTTCCAAAACAGTATTTATAGACACAGCATGTAAGAGTGTCATCGAGTTTTTGTACTTGGCTTACTCGAGCATATAATCTTTTATAATAACCTCCACTCCTGCTTGATGAGATGCAAGGCAGGGAGAGTTGAGAACTAAGACGGTGTTGAGAGTTAGATAATATGGATTCTTGCATGAGTTCAGTTGTTTGTCAACCACAAAAGTAATGAGTTGACAAAATGACACGCTATTTGCCCTATTGACAACTTTCAGTACTCTTCACATAGTCTTTTTGAGTAACCTAGAAAAGACTATAGTGGAGCAGTGAATTGCAGTAGAAAAGATACAAGATTTACCCAATCGTAAACGTAAAAGTTGAATGATTCCTGATTGTCTTTACTTCTTAATATGGTTGGTTCGAGGGAACATTTCCTTAGATATCGAGAAAATAATGGATGACCAAGACATCACAGGATAGAACTACACCAAAGTATTTTATGCTCGACTTAGATTTTGTATCAGTGCCCTGTATAATTCAAGTATGATGTAAATGAACAAGTTCGTGTGGATGACGTTAATGCCTGAAGGTCAAGTTAGCTGCCTGACATTTGGGAGGCTTTAACATGAGACTACTTAGCTTGGATGACTGGTTGATATCCAACAAAAATCTATCCAGCTTGGAACACTCAGATAGGGATTGAACGAAGTTGACTTCTTCTGAAAGCGGCAAGTTTTGTAAGAGGGAATAAGATAGAAGACAACAGAGAACAGCACCCTGAGGGACTCCAGATTCTGTAAGTAAAGCAGAGGAGGGTTTGCCTTTTTACAAATAGTACACTGCATTCTGTCAGAGAAATAATAATGCAACCAGTTAACAACCTAGGACTCGGTTTGTGCCAGAGAAAGCTTATTTAAGAGAAGACATCTGAATACACAGCCAAAATCTGATGTGCAGTTTAGGAAGTTACATCGAAAACACATTTGTCTCTTTCGTCTAAACAGGAAATAATATTACGCTGTAAATCAGCGGAAGCATACACAGGACATCTATCCTGTCTATAAGCAAAGTCTCTGGTGCCATTAAAACTTTTCAAGGAAGGCTTAGGGTTAAGTGAAAGTAGATATTTCCACTGAATTCAAAAGAAGGAGAAGTTACTGTAATAGGTTTGAATTTATTGTTCATACCAGCAGTACATAATAATAATAATAAGCTTTATTCCAAAACAATACTAATGGTATAGTGTGGAATTTTCAGCATTTGGTGCAATATTGCATCTAATTTTATATAATAACATTAAAAGCAATTATAAAGATAATATTACAGGATTGTTAATGGCAGTTCTTATTTGGTATTAGTAGTGACAATGAAGTTATATATATATATATATATATATAAAAAATATTAAATAACAATAATAATGTCAGCAGCTAAGATTGACAGTTAATTGAGATAGTGTCACCATAGATCACTAATAGGAGATGTTAAAAGAGCTGATTACTTTGCTAACAGCAGAGTAATGAATAAGTTCCACGCATTAATATTGTCTCTACCACGTAGGACACGGACCGGCCAAATAGGGTATCACTGAGTTCCTATACTTGGTAGTAAGAGCGTAGAATCTTTTCTACCAACGTCTAGTTCTATCAGATGAGATACAAGGCAGGCAGAATTGAGAAGAGAGGGAGTGTTGAAGGTCAAACAATATAGATTTAAATCATTTCTCACACAAGTTCAGATGTCTTTCAACTAATGTAGTGACAAGCTGATTAAGTTAAACAACGCCTGCTCTACTGACAGCCTTTAATTGAGGTACTAGAATAATTTTAATGTCTTTTCATGCAACCAACACAACAATGGTGGAATAAGAAGCATTGAAAATGTTCGTAAAAAGATGACATAAAACATTGGCATATCTTTTGAGGATAAAAGCTAGCACACCATAAGGATCAAGGCTTTCAGAAGGTTTTAGCGATTTCGGACATTTAAGAAGGTCATGAGTATTAAAACCATGAATGTTAACATCCTTATGATTTGTAACATTGAGAACTCAAGGAAAGGAAAAATCTCACGTTATTCAACAGCTGCCCACTTCGCTAGCTCCACACCGAAGGTCAAATAGCCAGTCGGCCAGAGAGAATCAGCAACAACAAATTCTGGTAATGAGCAAACCGACCAAGAGACGACTGCTCAACAAATGTTTAGGAAGAATTGGATCGGACATACGTTGAGGAGGCCGTCAAATGACATCGTGCGCCAGGCATAACATCGAGTGGAATTCGAATGAGAAACGACGAGTGGGTCGTCGATGTGAGGGTGACATGGATGAGATAGTGCAAGGAGGGGATGAGAGATTATGCGGAATCATGGACCCAGGTGAAGAGTATATCAGAGGATAGAAGAAGGCGGAGATGTTTTTTTGAAGTCCTATATTCCACTCGAAAGCCAATGGAATAACAATAACATAAGGTGAAACAAGAAAAACAAACTCATTTCCTAAATAAATTATTTACTCAGTTTTACATTATTAAACATTTGCCAAGAAGATTAAACCATTAGACGATTGTTATTTAGTTAGAATAAAGAGGGAAAACTAAAAATAAATCAAAATATTTGTAATAAGAAATTTATCTAATACACTTAACATTTTGTGATGAAAAATAAGACATTAACTACAAATCAGTTAAGAAAGTATTCACTCCCTAAGTGAATTAATCTGAGTAATTATTCGATATGCAAACATGAATCTATCTTGATAGCTTAGGATTTTTTAGCTAGCTGCTTTCGAAAATATCTCCATTATGGATAAGATTTTATTTTGATAAGTCACACAGTTTTGTTGTACAGTAATATTAACTGATGATCACCTTTCGAGCACAAACTATTGCCGCTCATAATCATATCAAGCTACTCACACAACTCTTTTCCTTCATTTATATACATATGTGGACTCGATTAGATATTTGAATAAAAATCAATCAATTGAGAAATAATAATACGAGTGTTACTGATCAATTACAATCACATGGGAAATAAGACGAAAGTTTTTATAGTCATAATAAGTAACTTATTAGAATGTTGTGGTGTGCTTGAGTTGAATTAGAATTTTAAGATTACTTACTATCCTCTTACAGACAGCAATCAGCATAAATGGAAGGAACCTGAAAGAAACTACCTCCTTTACCTACTTGGGAAGCATCGTCTCAACTACAGGAGGAACTGACGAGGATATCAAAGCAAGGATCGGGAAAGCAAGGCAAGCTTTCATTGCTCTCAAGTCTGTGTGGAGGTCAACATCATTCAGCGTCAAAAATAAGATCGGGATTTTCAACTCCAATGTGAAGTCAGTACTACTATACGGATCAGAGACTTGGCATGTCACAAAGAGCACCTCAAACAAGCTACAGACCTTCATTAACAGATGTCTTCGCTCAATACTCAAGATCAGATGGCCGGAAAGGATAAGCTACAAAGATCTCTGGGAGCGAACCAACCAGGAACCGATTGTGAAACAAATAGGCAGGAAGAAACGGAGATGGATTGGCCACACTTTGAGGAAACCAGCAAGTGACATCACTAGACAAGCCATTGCTCGAGTGGAATCCGAAAGGGAAGCGACGAGTTGGTCGTCCAAGGGTGACCTGGAGGAGATCATGTGAAGAAGAATTGAAAGCGTATAGGCAGACTTGGAGCCAGGTGAAAACTCTAGCAGAGAACCGAACGCAATGGAGACGCATGGCTGAAGCCCTATGTTCCTCTAGGAACTAAAGGAAATAATAATAACTATCCTCTTCTGATTTGACTGGTGGTAATAATATCTTCTATAATTCTGGTATTTCCATTGAGTCATTACTATTGCATGTGTTGTGTGTAGACTCGATGAACCAGGATTCAGTGATCAATCTCTCTCTCTTTCTCCACCTACCTAAATTAATCTTTAGAACTTTGACTCTGTTCCACCCTATTGTGTGATTGTGTATTAATGCATGCAGTGCAATCGTTGAGCTTTTTTCTAAATTACTTATCTACTCGGGGTCAACCACTTTTACCTTAGTCAAATTCTTATGTTCTTGTTTGTTTCTGTACGATAAAATTCACCAAATGGAAACTCACAAGTTTAAACAAATATATCTAAAGCGACTGCTGAATTTAACAAAAATACTGAGTTTGATCCTCATTATTATTATTATTGTTCCCTTGGGTTCCTAGTGGAACATACGGCTTCAACTGCACGTCTCCACTTGCTTCTGTCTTCTGATGTACTTTTCGCCTGCATCCATGTTAGTCCATACTGTTTCAACTCTTCTTCACACGATCTCCTCCATGTCACCCTTGCACTGACGTCCCACTCGCCGCTTCCCTTTTGGGTTCCACTCGAGTGATGGCCTGACGCGCGATGTCACCCAGCGGCCTCCTCAGCCAGTATCCAATCCATCTCCATTTTCTCCTGCATATTTGTTGGGCGATTGGTTCTTGTTTTGTTTGTTCCCATGGTTTGTTTCTTGTTGGTGATTCTTTCCGGCCATCTGATCTTGAGTATAGAGCGAAGACAGCTGTTGATAAAGGTCTGCAACCTGTTGGAAATATTCTTTGTGACCCGCCGCCAAGTTTCTGATCTGTATAGAATAACTGACTTGATGTTTATATTGAAAATCCGAATTTTGTTGTTGATGTTGCTGCTGTTGTGGTTGTTGGTTGGTTATTTTCATAACCTCCGCCTTGTCTATGTTCACCTGGAGTCCTGTCTTTGCTGCTTCTTCGACCAGTTTGTCGGTTTTCGCTTGTAAGTCTTCGATTTTGTGTGACATCAAACATAAATCAACCACGCGCGAAATCCAGGTCTTCTAGGTTCTTCACGTCGGTCCAGGATATCCTTGTCTTCTCGTTTCCCACTGTCTGACACATAATCCAGTCCACCACAATTAGGAATATCATTGGTGATAATAAGCACCCTTGTCTTACTCCTGTGTTTACTCCAAACGCCTCGCTGAGTTTTCCATTGTGGATCACTTGACATGTGCCGTTGTCGTACAGCTGTTGAATAAGGTTGATGAATATTTGGCGTACGCCATAGTACTCGAGCCCATTAGTTAACCATTAGCTAACTTCATCTAGAGAACCACTTAAAACTACAGATTACTGGAAATTTTTTCGTCCTAGTTCGAGACTCTTCATCAGTACGCACTCATGACCCAGTCGGGAATGGAACTGAGGACCTTCCTGTTACAAAGAACGCTCGTTAACTATTCAGACAGTGGGAAAGAATCTAATGGCTTATCAGTTCTAACTTCTGTCAATTCCCGAACTATAACGATTTATAGATGTAATAAATGAAGTGTTACAATTAAGAGTTGTTGCTTAAGTATTTAAGAGTGTGAAAGCGAGGCATTCTCCAGCTATACCTACCTTTTCAGAACAGAACTTATGTAAACATCAATAAAACGGAACAGGACAGCTATTTTGTGGACGCCTATGATGGCATGATATTATTCGCTAATGACTCCAGGAAGGTTCAAGTTCATGGCTGTTAGATCTTGCTACCACCCAGTCGCACTGAATGAGTAGTTAATGACCTTAACATGTAAGCTGAGGGTACTGGTTACGTGCTACTGAAGCGTCTCAATTAAGGACAAAACAGCTGTCCATTACTCCCTGGTATTCGGTGGTTCTCTAACTAAAATCAGTTAGTGATCAGACTCAAAACCCATCATATCCTTCCAAGCCAACAATTGAAGACCCGAGTATTCATTGAATATCAAAAATACAAGCTGACTTTATTCAGTACCACAATATTCTGTTATCTGCGTTTTATGCTATGAGAATAAATCATGCTGCACGGTCGGTTATACTGACTTCGAAACATTTACAAGCGGTAGCGACAGTTTCACTAATATGTGATAGCATGGAGGATTTCGTCATGAGCTGACATCAGTTAGAGAACCTTTGGTAAACCTGGGAGTATTGGACAGCTGTTTCGTCCTAGTTCGCGACTCATGATCAGTATGCACCCACCGGGGTTCGAACCCAGGGCCTTCTGGTTACAAGGCGAGCCAGCTCGTAGACCATTGAGCCAATGGGACCCGATCCAATGGTCCTTGAATTCTAACTTCTGCCAATTCACGACATAGCGCGACCATTTCGCAATGTCTTCTTTAATGAGTTACTGCCGTGAATTGGCAGAAGTTAGAATTCAAGGACCATTGGATCGGGTCCCAGCGCCTTAATGGTCTATGAGCTAGCTCGCCTTGTAACCAGAAGGTTCTGGGTTCAAACCACAGGGGTGGGTGCGTACTAATGAAGAGTCCCAAACTAGGACGAAACAGCTGTCCAGTACTCCCAGGTTTTCCAGTGGTTCTCTAACTGATGTCAGCTCATAATGAAATCCTCCATGCAATCAAACAAAATCCCTACAAAACCAATACTTGGAAATTAAAATGTGATAAGATAAAGAACAAGGTTCGAATTTTCAGAACCCATGGGAATTCAGTCACTTTTTCTGCATGGGTGTGAAACTTGAAGTTCGCGTCACGAAAACCTTTACCAAAAGGCCACTGCACACTTTTATCAACAGGCTGACTTTGCTGGCTGCACACTGAAGATCAAATGGCCAGCTTACCAGAAAGAGTTATCAACAAGAAACTCTAGCAACAAACCAGGCAAGAGCTGATCCCCAGTGGGTGCGTACTGCTGATGATTCCCAAACTAGGATGAAACAGCTGACCAGTACTCCCTGCTGGTTATCAATGTTTCTCTAATTGATAACAATCCGTGGTCAAATTCTGTAAGACAAATCAACCCTTGAAAATTATTTTTATTGTCTAATTAATTCTAAAATTTGTTTAAAATGATATTGTTTTTTAGATAATATTTTCACTTCGTGAGAAAGCGCGTCACAACTTTCGTGAATTACGTCACAATTTCATCATAAATGATCCTATGGGAGTTGGAAATATACGAAGGTAATCTATTTTACTGCATTTGTTTTCCGCTCTATATATTTTTTGGAAATTCTCTGTATGACAATTAAGTAGAAATGTTGGATGAAACGATGACATATATTACAGACATCTGAAGGACTATACATGACACCCATTTAGTCCTCCTTCTGGCCACGGCATCTGTGTACGTCAAGTACTTATGGGTTCGAATAATGGTGGTGAGTGTAACGACCAAAATTATTCAGTTATGGGCTGAACACAAGAAACCCATTTGTACATTCTATACTGTATAGCTAACAAAACTACATTGAGACACGGGCTATCACGAAACATTCCGATTGCAGGGGGAAGATGACTGTTCTCCAGTATTTTAGCCAAATTTACGTGAACACTGTCGTGAGGAGGCTATACAGGTAAGACAGAATTAGTTAACCGACGAAGGTTAGCTTTAAAAAATACCTTTGAGTCCAGGAGAATCCTCCCAACGAGGTGGGATCAAACGCTCTGTTCACAAGGATCACACACAAACGCTTCTCGGAGACAGTTCAGGGTCAGAATCGCCTGTATTCACTCAAACAAACTCATAATATCAAACAACAACACATTGTGTCAATGTACCGCCCAACCACAAAGAGAAAAGCATTACAATAATAAAGACTAAACAATGAAAAGAGCAAAATAGTAAAGGTCAAAAATTAGCATGTGCTATGCAAATGTCAAATTAGGGATTCCCAGTGTAGGGGTGGGGGGAAAGAACCTATAATAATTACAAAGTTAGTTGAAACGTCTCAGTAAGTATTAATATGATAAATGGATCGCCCAGGATGGACTTTCCAAGCAATTTGTCTATTAAAATGAGATTACCACACTGAAATCTCTTAAATCACACATTTGACTCGTTTTAGAGTGTTTATTTTGTGTGACATCTTTTTTTACAAACGATTTAAATACTACGATCACAAAATAAGCATACCGTATGATTTATAATCGGCACATTCTCTGGGACATTCTAGTCAACTAACCTTTACACAATTGGCATTAATCTTTGCTGACATCGAAATTTCTCATAGACTTGAAGTCGCATTTAGTTCTTCTGTTAAATGTTGTAGTATTTTCAAAATAATCACTGATTAGTGGGATAGTGTAACACACAGAGCAGTTCACCTAAATGACGTAAAAGTAGGAGGCGTCTTTATGATTTATGGGAGAATAAAAATGTAATATTTCTGGCCAAAATTGTGTTCACATTCCACTGGTTCTTTTTGATGCATTGGAATACCTCTAAAAACTAATAAACATATATGGATATATATACAATAAACTAGATGAAATAGTAGCAATTACGTCAGTGTCTGGTCAACCCATTAATTTTATGATCCCGGCATCAATTTCTAGTTAGCCGAAATGGATTCATTGTAAAATAGCGCTTGTAGGCGTAAATTGAATTACTATCTATCTATCTATCTATCTATCTATCTATCTATCTATCTATCTATCTATCTATCTATCTATCTATCTATCTATCTATCTATCTATCTATCTATCTATCTACCTATCCATCTATCTATCTATCTATCTATCTATCTATCCATCTATCTATCTATCTATCTATCTATCTATCTATCTATCTATCTATCTATCTATCTATCTATCTATCTATCTATCTATCTATCTATCTATCTATCCATCTATCTATCTATCTATCTATCTATCTACCTATCCATCTATCTATCTATCTATCTATCTATCTATCTATCTATCTATCTATCTATCTATCTATCTATCTATCCATCTATCTATCTATCTATCTATCTATCTATCTATCTATCTATCTATCTATCTATCTATCTATCTATCTATCTATCCATCTATCTATCTATCTATCTATCTACCTATCCATCTATCTATCTATCTACCTATCCATCTATCTATCTATCTATCTATCTATCTACCTATCCATCTATCTATCTATCTATCTATCTACCTATCCATCCATCTATCTATCTATCTATCTATCTATCTATCTATCTATCAAAATACTGCGAATAACAAGAGGGATTTTTTAATACAAATAGAGATTAAAATACAAAACTAAATGTGAAGTTGAGATAATTTTCTTCTCTTGAAAATACTGCTTATGTTGCCCACAGTGAAGATAAAGTTTGTATTTATTTCTGTTCGATGCATAGTGCCAGTTTGAATTCTTAGGATCATTATCGCTTCATTTATGCTCAGATGTCTTGACGTTACTCACTTTGAGAGAGTTGACCGTACCTAGGATTTCTCAAATAATACTGAGTTTTTCCTGAGTTCACAAAATGTTTCGTTACAGAACTAAAAACACGCTTTCGTTCTCTCTCTCTGCTAGCCAAAATAGGTTGTGTTCATGAAGGAGTTACATGGACACACAAATGTAAAGTACAGTCGATGAAGTCATCGAAAAGAAACATTTTCTTCGCTGCGATTATCTTTTTCAATACAGAGATGTACATATCTGTCACAGGTGTATGCTGATGAGGAGTCCCAAAGTAGGACAAGACAGCTTTCCAGCACTCCGTGACTTTCCGTGGTTCTCTAACTGATATCAGTCCTTGATCAGAGCTGAAATTCCCCGCGAACCTTTACTTGAGCATATTCGAAAGTCAATACAACTCAGACAATAGAGACCATCATTTTACACTTCTATCAAAGATGTTATATACAGGCAGTTGCTATAAATTCAGCTGACACACAATAAATAGGTTCACTACCACAAGACTGAAACTGTGGTCCAGTGTTCAGATCATTTTAACCCGATTTATAAATACCACCCGTAGGTGTTGTGTGTTAGTGGTTCAGGGCTAGAATGCTTGCTGTCCACCCATAGGGATGGGTTCGATCCTCACCCGGTGCACTCTTAAACCACTTCTAGCAGGTAGTGGGACGTGAGGCTAGCAACCCAGTCTCGTAAAAACAACACCACAGCTACTGGAACTTCAAAACTGAAGTCGGAAGTCCTCAGTTACACTCAGAACGTAAAGCAGCGAAGAAGAAGAGGACTGGCTGATCTCAGCAGGTTTAATCAGTAATATATACCATCCTTAAGATTGTTAAAAACCAGTCAACCTAATTCTTATCCATTAGAATGCAAATAGTCATAAGCGTGGCACATGCAAACACCGCTATTTAACACATTGTGTGTAAACATTTAAATAACATGTGGACACAAATGAAAAACGTTCGGTTTCAGTATACACCTCATTCAAAATATGGAATTACTGACAACACGAGTATTTAGAAAAATGATTCAGTAGAAACTGAGACACTCTGCAATTCTTGAAAATAACTGACGAGCCACTTTAGCCTTCTAACCTATAGCTTTTAACTCCGTAGGCTCTTAATCGAAAACTGCTTCATATTTCAGAAAAAGACCAGTAACTTGCAGCTAGACGCCAGTGACGGAACTATCAAGCGTTAGCCTGCAGAGATGTGTGTCTGGTTACAGGTTTGATCATGTGTACCGTCCAGCACTCCCAAGTTTTCTAATAGATCTCTAACGGATTTCAACTCATGGTCAAACCTGTGACCAATCAAATCCCTGCAAACAAACACTTGATGGACACTAGTGACTGGTTATTTACACGAAGTTACCTGAAGTTGTAGTGAGAAGTCGCAATCACTAAGTCATGAAACTGGCTAGCGGCTGCGCTAAATATACTTCACGAATTGGCAGGAGTTGGAATTCGTAGGACACTGGATCGAGTCCCAGTGGCTGAATGGTTTACGAGCTTGTCTTGTAACCGGAAGGTCCAGGGCTCGACACCCAATAAGGGGCGTGCTGTTGAAGAGTCCCGAACTACGGCGAAACAGCTGTTCAGTACTCCGTGGTGGTTTTCCAGTGGTTCTCTAACTAATGCCTACTCATAATCAAACCAATGACTGAAGTGTTTCTTTTTAAATCTTTGTTCTATTAAACGTACAAATTAAATCTAAAGGATAGCATTAGGCTTAAATAAAAATGGAGTAGGAGGTTCACTAATCTGCACAAGTGACGTTTAACTACTCTCAACAGTCAGTAGAATATATCGCAGACTTCTCCCATCAGTTTCACTCTTGGTGTTAAGAGGACTATAAGATATGCTGCACATATATATTGTTTCTATGATAAACCATAGTGACGTCTAACTATGAACTCAGAAACGTTTCACGATCAAGATGTAGAATGGGTCATATTCGTCTCGGTTTCGAACAATAGTCCGCCAGATGATCAAAGTACACTGTAACTGCTATTAACTACTCAAATTTTCATGTCTTACTATTATCTGTTTTATTCTTTTACGTTCCAAGAGGGACTTTGAGGCTTTACTAGCATTGGTTTTATGTTTACTCGATGGGTTTGTTGGTCTCATACCCAACCTTCGCTCTTTATCAGCTTTTCTACCGGACTGCTGGTATTAGATGGTTGGAGGAAGTCGGCAAGAAGTCCAGCCTTGCACCTAGCTTTCATGATAGCTGGCACTCACCAATCAGCAAGGCGTATCTGCAACCTCGAAGGAACTCATGTCCCTTCTAAGATTCAAACTCGCGTCACCAAGTGCTGCAGTCAGAGACGTTACCACTGAGCTATTCGGGCTCGCAATTGACCTCCTGTAGGACTGTATTGGACATTTTTGATTGGACACTAATCAGTCGCTAGTGTAATGTGTCCAGTCCTATCTTTGGTGCAGACTGAATTCTATCAGTCATGTTTGCAATGTGCACCGTTTTGGTGAGCCACCTGGCATGTTGGCCGCATTGCAAGCTTCACTGATGGAATTCAGTCTGCACCGAAGATAGAACTAGACACAATACACTAGTTACTGACTATTGTCCAATCAAAAATTTCTACCAGATTAGTGAAGTTTTAGGAGTACATCAGCCGGGGATCGAACCCTGGACCCAATAACGTGTAACACAATACAACTTAATCAATATATCATTAATAAATCTCACCGCTACCTGACTGAATCCCAACCTTAAAGTGAACATCATTTTCTTCGAAA